ACCATTGCCAGGTTTCAGGGGATTCCATCACCCAAATTCCTTATCATTCTTGCCATTCCTCTGATCCCTAGAACATTGTAAAGCGTCTTCCCAAACAAGTCCTCCACCAACCAGGGATTCAGCAGCTGTACCTACCTCATCATATGACAATCTGCCTCCACAGTACCATAAGCTCCGGAACATTTGTGAAAAAGAGAATGCTGATCGTCTACCTTCTCATTGCCCATATGAGTGTCCTACTAACCTGCTTCCAGGGCCACAAATACCCTTTGGTCACATTTATTCTCTTTCCGACCTGAATGGAAAGGGCTCATAAAGTGGCTCGATGAGAATTTAAAGTAGGGCATTAGGAGACACTCAACCTCCGCTGCTGGGAGGGGCTTGTTCTCTGTCAGAAAAAAAGGACTCCACCTTGCACCCATGCATTGACTACAGGGATTTGAACAAGATCACCAATAAAAATCACTATCCACCCCCCTAATTCCTGAAATACTGGAAAGACCCCCATCTGTCAACATCTTTACCAAACTAGATTTACAGAAGGCATGTTCCCTCGTCCATATTTGTCCGGGCGATGAATGGAAAACGGCTTTTAGAACCAGATATGGATATTTCAACTCTTTGTTCATCCCTTTTATCCTTTGAAATGCCCCCACACCTTTCACTAGTGATGGCAGAACACACCCCTGTACAGTTCACGGTCGAACATTCGAACCTAATGAAAGTTCGACCATGAACTTCGAACTCCCCCCCAAAGCACCTTGTCCCCATGTTGATGAGGACAAGGGTTTCTTCCCCACAACCGTGCCTGGTGGTTGTGGGGGTCTGTGGGCGGGGGGGGCTTATTGTAATCTGGGAGCACCCTTTAACAAGGGGGTCCCCAGATCCCGCCCCCCCCATGTGAATGAGTATGGAGTACATGATACTGCTACTCACTCACAAAAAGAAAGGGAGTGCGCAGCGCGGCGATCGGCGATGCGCTGTGTCCCTCGGACACAGCGGATCACCGATCAACAGAAACAGCGGAAGACGTTGGCTGGGTCATGTGATCAGCTGTGTCCAATCACAGCCCATCGCATGTAAATAGAGAAATGCCGGTTATCAGCATTTCTCTCCTCACGAGCTGTCACACTAACAGGAGAGGAGAGTCGGTAATCGGCATCCCTCAGAGGGGACATGTGCACTGATCATCAGTGTAGCCCCAGCAGTGCCACCTGTCAGTGTCCATCAGTACCAGCTGTCAGTGCTCATCCATGCCACCTGCCAGTGCCCATCAGTGCCACATATCAGTGCCTACCAGTGCACATCAATGCCACATATCAGTGCCTACCAGTGCACATCAATGCCACATATCAGTGCCCACCTGAGCTGCCTTTCAGTGTCACCTATCAGTGCCAGTCAGTGCCACCTATCAATGCCAGTCAGTGCTGCCTATCAGTGCCAGTCAGTGCCGCCTATCAGTACACATTAGTGCCGCCTATCAGTGCCCGTCAATGCTGCCTATCAGTACCGACTAACAGTGCCAGTCAGTGCCACCTATCAGCGCCAGTCAGTGCTGCGTATCAGTGCTATATATGAGTGCTGCCTTTCAATGCCCATCAGTGATGCCTGTCAATGCCCATTAGTGCCACCTACCAGTGCCTCCTCATCAGTGCCCATCAGTGCCACCTATCAGTGTCCATCAGTGCAGCCTATTAGTGCCCAGCACTGCAGCCTCATTAGCGCACATCAGTGAAGGAGAAAAATCACTTATTTACAAAATGTTATAACAAAACTAAGAAAAAATGTTTTTTTTTCAAAATTTTCAGTGGTTTTTGGTTTGCTTAGCAAAAAATAAAAAACCCCGAGGTGATTAAATACCACCAAAATAAATCTCTATCTGTCACAAAAAAGATAAACATTTCATATGGGTACAGTGTTGCATGACCGCGCAATTGTCATTCAAAGTGCAACAGCGCTGAAAGCTGAAAATTGGCCTGGGCAGGAAGGGAGTAGAAGTGCCCTGTAGGCGAGGGGTTAAAAACAAAAATTTTAAAAATGTCCCCCGAAGTAGATCCAATGTTCATCACAATGCCCAGCGACTCGAACACAGATCTGCTGGGAGGACCAATCATCCTGTAATTGTCCGCACTGATCATATCAATGTAGAATTTGTGTGTTCTGCACAGAGATTGTCTTCTAGAGCAGCATGTTGGAGCCGATTCTTCTCCGGGGTCAGTGTTGTTATTGGGTTGTCGCCGCGGGGCAAGGAATGGCAAAGCAGATGTCTTATTATGGAGGTTGTCTGAATGTACTATCATGCCTCAAAACAACTGCCTGGGGGCGAGATTTACAAAGTCACCCACATGGAAGAAACATATATTGGAAATATATTTAAAAAATATTCTTCCCAAATATATTGCCATATATTTAAAATGCTACAATTTTGCCCATATTCAATATATTTCGATACATATATATACTGCATGTTGAAATGCCTTTTTATTGCAAAAAAAATGAAAAATATTTTTAAAAATACATTTTCATATATGCTGTACGTAAGAATAGATAAAAAAAAACATATTAAAAAGTCATTTTAACATATATTTTTAAATGCATTCCAAAAATGTTGAGCCGTGTGCGGAGATGAGGAGAGGAGAACATCTTCCGATCATCTCAGTTACGTATGATCAGCGGAGAAGACGTTCTCCTCTCCTCATCTCCGCACACGGCTTCTCTCATTCACTGCAACAGGAACATCCGGATTATGAAGGTTGAGATCTCAGCAACTTGCTGTGAGATCTCCCCCTCCCCCCTCTTCTCCAACCCAGAGGGAGGGGGAGGGGATCTGCTGAAAAGAGAGGAAGAACTTCACTGACTTCCTTCCTCCTCCATCAGAGCCAGAGAAAGTGAAAGTCCCATCATCCCTCATTTCATGGGATACACCGACCAGGAGAGCAGGTCAGAGACAACGAGGAAGAGAGAGCGAGAGATGTGCTGTATACGTATGTACTCATCAGCCACTTTATGAGGTCCACCTTGCTAGTCCCGGGGAGGACCCCTTTTTGTCTTCATTCTTCGTGGCGTAGATCCAACAAACATTCCTGAGATTTTGCTTCATATTGACATGACAGCATCACGCAGTTTCTGCAGATTTGTCAGCTGCACATCCATGAACCATTGATACAAGGCAGGATGGATCCACCACACCCATGACACCACCACCACCAGCCTGAACCATTGATACAAGGCAGGATGGATCCCCCACACCATGACACCACCACCAGCCTGGACCATTGGTACAAGGCAGGATGGATCCACCACACCATGACACCACCACCACCAGCCTGAACCATTGATACAAGGCAGGATGGATCCCTCACACCATGACACCACCACCACCAGCCTGAACCATTGATACAAGGCAGGATGGATCCACCACACCATGACACCACCACCAGCCTGAACCATTGATACAAGGCAGGATGGATCCACCACACCATGACACCCACCACCACCAGCCCGAACCATTGATACAAGGCAGGATGGATCCACCACACCATGACACCACCAGTCTGAACCATTGATACAAGGCAGGATGGATCTACCACACCATGACACCACCAGCCTGAACCATTGATACAAGGCAGGATGGATCCACCACACCATGACACCACCACCACCAGCCTGAACCATTGATACAAGGCAGGATGGATCCACCACACCATGACACCACCAGCCTGAACCGTTGATACAAGGCAGGATGGATCCACGCTTTCATGTTGTTTGTGCCAAATTCTGACCCTACCATCTGAATGTTGCAGATGAAATTCAGACTCATCAGACCAGGCAACGTTTTTCCAATCTTCTATTGCCCAATTGTGGTGATCCTGTGCAAATTGTCACCTCCGTTTCCTGTTGTTAGCTGACAGGAGTTGTACCGGGTGTGGTCTTCTGCTGCTGTAGCCCATCCGCTTCAAGGTTGGACGTGTTGTGCATTCAGAGATGGTATTCTGCATACCTTGGTTGTAATGAGTAGTTATTTGAGTTACTGTTGCCTTTCTATCATCTGGAACCAGTCTGCCCATTCTCCTCTGACCTCAACAAGGCATTTTCCTCCACACAACTGCTGATGATTGAGTGTGAAAATCACAGCAGATCAGTAATTTTGATATCCTCAGACCAGCCCGTCTGGCACCAACAACCATGCCAAGGTCAAAGCCACTTAAATCCCCTTTCTTCCCTATTCTGATGCTTGATTTGAACTTCAGCAAGTCGTCTTCGCCATGTCTAGATGCCAAAATTCATTGAGTTGCTGCCGTGTGATTGGCTGATTAGCAATTTGTGTTACCAAGCCATTGAACAGGTGGACCTAATAAAGTGGCCGGTAAGTGTATGTAAATGCGACACATTGGGGGGGATTTACTAAAACTGGAGCAGTCAGAATCTGGTGCAGCTGTGCATGGTGAGCGCCCTACGTGCACCGCCATTTGCGGCCTCGGCTGTCAATCACCGGGTCCTGGCTGGTGATTACTCGCTGGTGCCCGGAGATCACCAAGTAATACCAACGGGGGGAGAGAACTGTATGTAAACAATACAGATCTCTCCCCTGTCAGCTCCTGCACACTGCTTTGTATGGCTCTGCATAGCAGCATGCATACAGTGAAGCACACAGACCCCATCCCTTAGTAACACACACAGCACACAGGTAACCCTTTGATCGCCCCTCATGTTAACCCCTTCCTGCACAGTGCCATTAGTAGAGTGTCAGTGCTTTCTATTAGCACTGATCACTGTATTGGTGTCACTGGGGATGTCAGTGACACCAAGTCAGTCCCCCCCCCCCAGTGTCAGAATGCTCACCGAAGAAAATCAAGAACAGATGAGAAACAAAGTAATTGACATGTATCAGTCTGGAAAGGGTTACAAAGCCATTTCTGAGGCTTTGAGACTCCAGCCAACCACGGTGGGAGCCATTATCCACAAATGGACAAGATTTGGAAGAGTGGTGAACCTTCCCAGGAGTGGCTGGCCTACCAAAACGACTTATCCAGGAGGTCATATAAGAACCCAGAAAAACATGTAAAGAACTGCATGTCTCACTTGCCTCAGGTAAGGTCCATGGTCATGATTCAACAATAAGAAACAGACTGAGCAAAAATGGCCTCCATGGGAGAGTTTCAAGGCCAAATCCACTGCTGACCAAAATGAGCAGAAAGGCTCGCCTCATATTTGCCAAAAAACATTGTGATTATCCCCAAGACTTTTGGACAAATATTCTGTGGACTGATGAGACAAAAGTTTTTGGAAGGCGTGCGTCCCGTTACATCTGGCATAAAACTAACATAGCATTTCATAAAAAGAACATCGTACCAACAGTCACACATGGTGGTAGTGGGATGGTCTGGGTTCAGGACCTGCATGACTTACCATAATTGATGGGACCATGAATTCTGCGCCAGAAAATCCTGAAGGAGAATGGCCGGCCATCAGTTCCTGAGTTCAAGCTCAAGCGCACTTCGGTTGTGCAGCAGGACAATGATCCGAAACACACCAGCAAGTCCACCTGTGAATGAAAATGAAGGTTTCGGAGTGGCCTAGTCAAAGTCCGGACTTAAATCCGATTGAGATGCTGTGGAGTGACCAGGGACGGACTGACCATTTGGAAACTCAGCACTGCCCGAGGGCCCGGGGTCAGTAGGGGGCCCCATGAGATGCCCCTGGTACCTTTTTCATAGGCTTTTTTGAGTTTGGGCAAGGACACAGGGGCCCCATGATCCTCTATTGCCCAGGGGCCCCATGAGTTGTTAGTCCGCCCCTGGGCGTGACCTCAAACAGGCCGTCCATGCTGGAAAACCCTCCAATGTGGCTGGATGAAAACCATTCTGCAAAGAAGAGCGGGCCGAAATTCCTCCACAGCGACGGGAAAGGCTCATCGCCAGATATCGCAGACGCTTGATTGCAGTTGTTGCCGCCAAGGGTGGCCCAACCAGTTATTAGGTTTAGGGGGGCAATTACATTTTCACACCGGGCCAGGCAGGTGTGGGCAGCTTTTTTTCCCTTCATAAATTAATTTATTATATAAATACTGCATTTTGTATTTCCTCGGGTTATTGTTGTGCAATATTCAAATCTGTTTGATGATCTGACTCATTTAAGTGTGACAAATATGCAAAAAAAAAATCAGGAAAGGGGCAAATACTTTTTCACAGCACTGTATATGTGAAATTTGGTAAAAGTTAGTAGAATTTAGAAATGTAAAGTCAATTGTTCTAATCATCTCTTTCAGATAACAATTACAATGGATGGTGGGGATACACTGCTACTCACAGCCATAACAGCGGTGGCAGCGGCAGCAGCAGCGGCAGCGGCATGCGTAGCCCAGGATAGGGTCAGAAATGTTCGGCTCAGACAGTCCCGTGTGTTCAGGACACGTACAGTCCTGGAAGAGCTCTCTGACAGTGATGTTGAGGACATGTTTC